AATACAAAAAGGATTGGCATCCCGAGATCAGTGTAAGTCCTCCTCGATTGGCTGCCATTTCTCATATTCCCCACCACGTAAAGGATTCGTGGGGGTTGATACTTGCCACTTCGTTGAATTTGCTAGCTTGGCCTAGGCTTCTTAACTTTGAGGTTACCCGAGTCTTCTCTTAGTGACTCATTTGGATTAAATCCTCTACCTTGGTTTGCGTAGCAACCTGGGGAGGCGACTGAAAACGTGGTAGGTAACTGGAGTTGCGTGTGTTGTTGGGTAGACAGGCAGCAGATTTTTTGATGGGATTATGTTCTACCTGTGTGCTTGTTCGAAGGCCGCATTGATCATTATTGGGGCAGCCTTGGCCCTCCACCTCATTAAGGAACGAGGAAGAGAGGGTTCGTTGTTCTTTTGTTTGGTGGTTTCCAGTTCTCTTCCGGTAACATCAACTTCTATTATGTATATGGCTTACTGGCGTATGTTTAAACGCATATTGCACATTTGTTCGTCCCAGAGTCTTCATTTTAGTGCCGATCCTAGGCTAACAAACCATCTCAAAGCCCAAGAGCGAGAAGCACCCAGTCAGAGGATTGTGAAACAACTAAGCAAGGAGCTCGTTGTTTCAAGCCAACGGGTTGAGGGCACCCAACATACATTTCAAGGTGCGGTTTTGGGACAAGTGGTTTCCATCAAACTTGTCCATGTTAGCATCTTTGAACTTTTCGGCAATCTTTGCTTTCAGGGAACAAGGACAAGGAGTCCATGTCACCACTTTCCCTATGTGGTCTTTTAAGGGCATGATTGACCTTTCCAAGAGTTCCCAGGTTTTTCTTTCATTTTCTTAAGCTTCCAGGCTCAGCAGCAAGTTCTGTGAGGGCATATCATTCCAGGTTTAAGGGCAAGGGTTTTGAGGACCGGTCCGGTCCACAGCAGGTCCCTTATTTGGATGGGCAGCAGGACACTTCGGCCGCGGAAGCCCCATTTCCATTACCACTACCTAGTTCGCTATTAGGGCAGTTCTCTGGGCAAGCTAATGCTCATTCATTCTAGCCTCCATCTGGCTTTCTAGTTGTTCCATAAGGATTTTGGATGTCAGCAAGTGATGCCATTGGTTGCAGTTGAAGTTGGTGAAGTTGGTTGAAGCTTGGTGAGGTTGGTGAAGTTGGTGAGTTGGTGTTGATAGCACTATAGGCGTGACTGGGAAACTTGGATTAGGCACTCGAACAGTGGGTAACCTTGATAGGGATAAAAGGTTAGCTGGATTAGGGTTTACAGTGGTAGTGTTGTGTATTCAGGGCAGCTTGAATGTTGTGGCTAGATCGACTCCCTTGTCCAATTTGTGCTGACTAAAAAGAATATCGTGTGTTCTTTTTAATGTTTTTCATGGTTTATTGAATTGATATGTCATGAATGCGCACATATCACGTTCATAATTGTTTATGATATTGATTCACATCATTGGGTGATACAGCCCTAAAGGATAGGTTCTATAGGCTATGACACAAATAGAAAAAATTGGCTTATCAAGGGGACCTTGAACCTTGAGTAAGGATATACCTTAACCACATGTGAAACAAAGAGTTTCGCGTGGGTCCAACAAGTACGCATTACTCATGGGCCAACCCCCAAAGATTAGGATGGTTTGCGGGTAACAGGGAGGCGCTTTGGCTTCCGTCGACATAATCAAAGAGACTGCGATCAGCGCTATTTTGCTATCCAGACTTCAGAAGTTCTTGAACAGGAAAAGAGAAGAAATTTCATTTGAAATCGTTTTTTTATGCAATGGAAAGAAAAAAGATTTCTCAATATGGGAGAAAAGTTCTCAATCGTGCAAATAAATCAACAAATTTAAATGTTTTCATTTAAATTTTACAATTTAAGCCCAATTTTCCTTTTAGCAAGTATTTCTTAAAGAAAAGAACACTTTGATTTCGATGTTAGGGTACATGTACAAAACAAAGCACAAACAAAATAATACCCTAAAGAAGGGCAGGTTAATTGATGCAGCAATTGTAGTCCACTTTATTGCAAAATGATTTACATAACTAGGGTCCCCAGTGAAGTTCGCCAAAAGCTGTGGTGAACCCTCCCCCGAAGGCAAAATTGTGCGTAGAACGAAGGTATGCTCACATGTTGGTTTTTATGAAGTCGCCACCTAGTTTATTTTTATTAAGGGAAAACTAAGAAAAGAACCCCTAAATGACCTCCAATTTTCAATTAACTTAATCTAGGTCATTATCCCAAAGTTTAAGGCACAATTTCTTACGACCGAGGTAGATCCCGGAGACTATGCATGCTGATTAACTAACCTAAGTGTAATGCTTTGCAAGGTAATTGATTGCAATTTAGACCAGTAAGTGTTTTTTTGATTTTGATTTCGACTTGCCGCTCTGGTTAAATTCCCGAACGTGCCCTTACTACTCTCGTTTTGAATGGAGAGATTCAAAGCCGACGTAGTTCGATAAAGCCTATCAAAGCATTTTAAAGGGGAGCTTCATGCAATTGAGTGTGTGATTATATGCTTCGTGCATTTTTTAGGCATTTTGCAAAGATTGCATTGATTTTGTGTTTTTAGCATTTGTTTGCCAAAAAGTGCTTGATTTGGGCAATTTATTGCCAAAAAATTGGATGTTTGACTATTTATTGCCAAAGGTTGATTAGGCCAAATTCCCAAAAAAAAAAAGGTTTGAAATATTTGATTAGGCAATTTGTGCCAAAAATTGGTTTAGTCAATTTGTCCGCCAAAATGATTAAAGGCATCGTGCCAGAGATAATATGTAATTTGGGCAATTTATGCCAAAGACAAAGTGATATTTGGGCGATTTGTCGCCAAAAAGGTAAGGTGATTATTTGAATTATAGGCAATTTGTTGCCGAAAGCGATTGATTAAACCGTAGGCAATTTGTTGCCAAAACGTGATTGATTAGACTGTAGGCAACTTGTTGCCAAAACGTGATTGATTAAGACTTTTAGCCACAATTATTGATTAATTGGACTTTTAGCCGAAATGTTCGAAATAAAGGCAAATACACCGTAGTTATTAATTAACTAGGCACTTTAGCCAATATATTCAGAGTTTTAGCATTAATACCACGATTATTGATTAACCGAGCATTGTAGCCTAAACTTATTTACTTAAGGCAATTTATTGCCAAGAATCACGATGATGTGAATACGGTTATTTAATTATTTAACCAGAGTTTGGAGTAGAAGAGAATATACACAAAAATGATTGGGAAAATTAAATAGACAGAGTTTCGTTATTACCTGAGTCAAAACGGCGGCCGCTTCTTAGCTTCAGCTTGAAAAAAATTCCAGATTAAGCTCCTTCGTTCGGGGATATAATTAAAAATTTAATCTAGATTAAGTGACCACAATAAATTCGATTAAGTGACCAAATATCACAACAGCAGAGTAATAAAAGCCTACACTAAATGCAGAAAAGTAGTAAAAGAACCGCAAGGAGCGTAGGAGAGAAGCGAGCGTCCGTCAACACAGACTGAGTGTATAAAACTAAGTGCTCGGGGCTGTATTTATAGGAAAAAACAGGCTGGAGGGCGGGCGCCGCCGCCGTGGAAGGCGGGCGCCGCCGCCTTTGCCAGCGGGCTCCGCCGCCACTTGCTAATTTTCCGTTTCGAAGTTTTTTTCGGGAGTTCCGTACCTCCAAAAAATATTCCGGGATCAGTTCCGCGATCCTCGTAATTTTCCGGACGTTTCAAGTACCATATTGGCATACTTGAACTTTCCGAATCCGAATGGCCTCCGGTCCGGCCGGACTGTTGGCAGTCCGGGAAAACAGGCTTTTTGAGCCTCAAAATTTGAGTATTCACAGTCGGGCACTTAGACGGCTTGTGGTTTGCCACAACCTAACCGCGTAGATCAAAGTTTCAAAGAATCTGCAAAAGAGGTATTTTTCTAAATAATTTTATTATTTTAATCGTTTAAACGGATCCTTATTGGTATAGTTATTTTTGTTATGATTATATTATTCCACTACATATTGTTACTATTGAAACCCAACATAATTCTAATCTCATAAGGGAAATTTATAATCTTTTATTTCTTCCCAAATTGGAATCTCATGTGCACAAATGATATAACAACTCAACATGACAAATAATCACGGGGTCTCATTCTTCATTATTTGCATAGTTTTACAGTGTTTGGTAACATAATGCTTGAATTAACTTTTAGAGGTTAAGGTAGCATTTTATAGAAAGTTAACTCATATAACGTTTAAATTTAGTGTCTTATGAAAAACTAATTAAATAACTAATAGCTAAATGCTCAAAAACCACTAATTGTACCATAGAGATCCCAAGTCATAAAAATATTTCCAAACTGTTGCATTTTGAAAGCTAAGTTGGATTTTCAACCGAGTTTTGCTTATAGGAGCTTAATGAAACCACTGTGGTTCATAGAGAAGGGTTCTAGATTGTTGGTCAATAATGGTAATGAAATTTGAATATGGAAAGATGCTTAGATGCCAAAACAGAATGGATTTAGGGCTTGGTATCCTCCAAATTAGTCAAAAGATGGTGCTTCACTTAGAGAATTAATTGATCAGGAGAGTAATAAGTGGGATGGGTTCCTTACTAATTTGATTTTCTCCCGTTTGAAGCCTAAAAAATTTAAGCTATTCCATTGTGTAGTTGAAGGGTGAGAAATGAGTTAATTTGGACTATGAATGAGCATGGATGTTTTACTGTGAAGTTTGAATATCACTATGCATTGCAAGATAAACTTTCAACTAGGGAGGAGGGACCTTCTCAGCTTTCATACTCTAATTATTTGGAAACAGAAAGTTCCTCCTAAGGTAAAGCATTGTAATAACTCACTCCGAGTAAAATGGAATCTTGTTAGATGTTGATCGAATTTAAGATATATGGCAACCAAATATTTTCCCTTAATTTTGTCAACAAAAGACTGCTTTGCAACCAAAAATGTTCTAGCAATCTTTTACAGTACCCTGAAGATACTTTAGTAAATTGTCATAGATAACCAGAAGACATAACAACGCATCAAATCAGCATTAACTTAAACAGTCATTATTTACAGGCATTTGGTATTTAAAAAAAAAAAAAAAAAAAAAAAAAAAAAAAAAAAAAAAAAAAAAAAAAGTAAACTCAACAATTCTCCATTTGCATAACCACGAGACAGCTTAAGAAACAAATCCAAAAATTTCTGAGTGACCAACTTCCTAAACTTCGTATTTCACTGTATGCCACAACTAAAGGATATGCTTGATCCTATTATCCCAAGGTGGAACAGGCTTTCTCTAATTATATAACTTGTCACCATCATTCAATGCTCTGAGCTCACCTTCATTATCGACCATCTGACGATGTAAAGGAATCGGCAAATCCAGATGGCCTTACTGGAATACTATCCTTGGAACTAGTGAAACTAGAATAGCTCAGCCCAGTGCTTTCTGCAGCCTGCCAAACTTTTAGCATCTGAGGAAGTGGTAGACTATAGTCAATGCCACAATCATCATCTGATTCATATTTAGTTGGTTTCCATTTCTCAACAAGGGGTGCCAACAAATTCACAGCATGCCCCATATCGGGCCGATGGCTTGGCTCCCTTGCAGTGCAGTGTCCAGCCAGTTCAGCAACAATGGAAATACTCTCAGAATTCTCTTCATTTTTATTAAGTGTTGGATCAATGGCAGCCATAAGCTTCTCTTTGCTTGACTTGATTCGCCAAAACCACTCTGCCAAGTATCGGCTTTCCTCAGAGCGTTCCTCATCAAGAGCTGTTAACCCTGTCAGAAGTTCCATCAGCACCACCCCATAACTGAACACATCAGATTTAGTCGTAATCTTTCCCATCACTGCAAACCACAAAATCTCAGGGAAGTTAATGTTATGACTTGTAGCCATAACCAAACATTCTAGCTTTATTTAACAAGAAATAAAAGTAAAAATAATCTGAAGGAAAATGACAGAAGAGAGACAGACAGAAAGATCAAGAAAAAAAGAGAGAGAAAATAGAGATGGAAAGGGGGGGGGGGGGGGGGGGAAGTACTGAGAAATTGTAATCATTCTGTTATTTCTCCTACGTATTCAAGGCTTTTTATACAATAAGCATTTGCAATCGGTAAGCAATAATCGAATACTCCGAACTAACAAACATCTACAATTCAGTTTAATATTATCTTTTATTACAATTTGGAAATATAATAATAACCCATCCTTTCATCAAGAACTAGGGGGGGGGGGGGGGGGGAGTACTGAGAATTGTAATCATTCTGTTATTTCTCCTACGGTATTCAAGGCTTTTATACAACTAGCATTGCATCGGTAAGCAATAATCGAATACTCCGAAACTAACAAAACATTACAATTCAGTTTAATATTATCCTTTTATTACATTTGGAAATATAATAATAACCATCCTCATCAACGAACAGTATCATGCTATTGCAGCATTAGTGCTATTCAAACAGTTAGATGCATCCAAGTATGAGCATTACATAAGTTAAATTTTTAACAAAACATTGGAGTCTTCTTGGTGGCACTAAACCCCCTATAGTTTCATTATTAAAGAAGCGCCATTTTGGGAACATCTCAAAAAGTACGATCCTAGAGCTGTCTGTCCGAGGAGACAAGGAGCTTGCATCCTTACATCTACAATCCTGGATAGGCGTTTTCTTAGCACAAAATTGTAAAATAGTTTATTATTAAATCCATAAATCCACCAGTATCCTCTTGAATAAATTAAGACAATTTTAAATGCAAATTATAAAAGGACACATTTATATATGTATACATAAGGATTCTTATGATGTGTCACAAATCCTATTCAAAGATGATTTGTCTTTCTGAGATCAACAAAAAGAGTAATTCAGCACTTAAGAGCATCAAAAGTAAAATCGAAGGCATCCAAGCATCCTACCAGATGACTTAATGCATTCCACATAGGATCTTTAAATGCAAAATTCTTAACAACATGCATTGTTGTGCAACTGATGTCAAACATTGAGGAGAGGGATTCTTACCAGCATATTCAGGCGCAAGGTATCCAAAAGTTCCAGCAAGCCTAGTCACAACAGACTTTTGTCCATCCGGAGCAAGTTTCACTAATCCAAAATCTGAAACCTTGGCATGAAAATCATCATCAAGAAGAATGTTCGCAGATTTTAGATCTCGGTGAATAAAGGTTTCCCGAGCCATGCTATGCAGATACTCCATCCCCCTAGCAACATCTAGGGCAATGATCAGCCTTTTTGTCCAAGATAAAGGCTCCAACTTTAGGCTTTTCCATTGGAAAAGATGTCTGCTAAGGGCACCCTTAGACATATACTCATAGACAAGAAGCCTTTCATTGCCTTCAACAGAGTATCCTAAGATAGAAACCAAATTTCGGTGTCGGACCTTAGAAAGAATCGCAATTTCAGCTTGAAATTCATCTATAGCTTTACTGCTCACAATCCCAGCCTCCATTCTCTTAACTGCTATTTTTGTCCCATCTTCCAATTCACCTTTGTAGACAGTGCCAAATCCACCATGACCTAGCTCATTTTCTAGTGCAAAGCCATTGGTCACCTTACTAAGAAGCTGAACAGATATAATTAGGTTTCCAGCGTCAACCAAATGAGAATTACGTGTCACAAGGCTAGCGTTACTTGCAAAACTTGTGGCAGTTTGAGCCGATAAGCTTCCAGTGTTATCATTTGGGATTGCACTCTTAACAAAGTTTTCTGGACCATGTAGGTCTTTAGGATGAACTACAATGGAACCAGGGGGTTCTGGATTTGCTTTTCTTGTCTTATAAAGGCAATATACAGACAGAGAAATCGCCACAAGAACCAATAGTGAACTAGTTCCACCTGCAATAAGTAGTTTAGTTCTTTTAGAATTCTTGGACTGCGAAGAAACTGGGATGAAACCAGACGAATTGGTATTTGAGCTCATAGTTGGAGAAGGAGGAACAGTGGGTGCTGATGGTTGCGCACTACCTGGGGGTGGTGGGGGTGGACTAAAAGTAGAGGATGAGGATTGGTTACTAAGCAAAAGAGGATTTCCATCAATAACAAGCTTCACACTTCTCTGGAATTTGGGTAATGGAGGACTAAAATTGTTTCTACTAATGTCTAACAATCTCAAAGAGTTCAACTTTGTCAAATTGCTTGGAATTGTACCATACACTTGGTTTCCTCCGAGAATAATTTGGACCAGCGAATCTAACTCTGCAATTGAAGGACTAAGAGTACCAGTAAGATTATGTCTAGGCAAACTTATGACAGAAACCTTTGACTTTAAATCACAATTCAAGCCGAACCACGGTTGTTGACAAGGATCATTACCAGTCCATTCAGAGACAAGATTTAGAGGATAATTCAACCTACCAAGAAAATCCAGAAGTGCATTAACTTGAGGGGCACATAAAACCCCGGATTTGGATTGGCAAAAAGAGTTGGAAGCACATGAAACCTTACCGGCCTTAAACATTGGTATTGGACCCATTAGATTATTATTGCTCAAATCCAAATTATCCAGCTCTATATCAGCCAAGCCCTGTGGAATCAAACCAACAAGTTTGTTATCATTGAGATTGAGGTCTTTCAGCGAAGAAAGATCACCAATGTTTTCTGGAATTGTGCCGGTGAATGAATTTCCATGAAGCCATAGCTGCTTCAACGATGTCATATTTGCAATCACATTAATTGAACCACTCAAGCCACCCTCTTCTTGATTATTCAACCACAGAACTGTCATCAAAGATTGCCCAAAACTGGCAGGAAGTTTACCAGACAATCTATTATACGAAAGCCTTAGAGCATTTAGAGACGACAAACTGCCTAGAAATTCAGGCAATGTACCAACTAAATTGCAGCTTGAGCAAGAAAAATTCGTCAATTCAACAGCATTAGCCAACGCATCAGGAACAGTCCATCCAGTAGTCTTATTGAGAGGATTTTGATCTAACGCCAGAACACGTATACTAGTGAGTCCATCAAAGAAATCTGATGGGATTGTGTCAAATTCATTGAAATCCAAAAATGCGAATTCCAATTCAGATAATCCTTTGAAGGTGGGCAATTTCCCGTTGAACATGTTGTTTTGGAGGCCTATATTATAGAGCTTCGAAAGCTTGTTGAAGTTTTGAGGGAGTGGCCCTTTAAGACCCAATTTCTGCACCTGAATCTGTGTAATTCGGCCATTGGAGCAATACACATGAGGCCATGAAGGAGGGCCGCAAGGATCATTACCTTTGGCCGGCCATCCGAGAAGCTCAGGATTATCCAATCCATTCTTGAAATCCATCAGAACCTTGAGGTCATTGGGATCTGTAACAGTGTAAGCCAACTTGATAAAACACACCAACAACATAGTTTTCGTCAATATATAGGCGTCTCCCATCGCCCCAACTCTGCAAAACTGAAAATCAAGAGAAAATTAAAAACGAACACCCAATGTACCTCCAAAAATCCCAAACAAAGTCTAAGCCTTGCACATTTCAGTGAACAGGAAGAGAGAGTGCGAGAAAGAAAAGCAGCAGCTGGAAAGAGCAAGTGAAGAACGAGGCAATTTCCATGCTAGCTGCATCAAAGATTATTTTCTACAGAAGAAACAGACGCTGAGGCCTGAGGCCTCAACACTCGAGTACTCTACCATTACCGTCGTCTCTCTTCCCGTTTCCATTTTTGGCTTCGTGTCGGTTGCAGCTGTCTCTCTTTTATGTTTTTAATATGTATAAGGTGGATTGACTGTAATACCCTTTAGAAGGCTGCAGTGACTCAGCGAGTATAATACCAATTCCTTATTTTTTGTAAAAGAGGGCGCCTGTCCCTAACCTGTGCTGAGTCGTGTATTTCCCAAAAAGCCCATTTTAGCCAAAAAACAATTACGTCAAATAAATGAATGATTATATTTGAAAAAAGAAAATAGAGCACGTGATGGGTCCAGAAGATATCTTAGAAGCGTATTTAGCAAGTCGCGATGAAATAAATGTTACCATCATATTAAAGGTTTTCAAGCCAAATAATGTCAGATTTAATTGCCGCGTATCACGGTTTAATTTCTTATTATATTTTCAATTCCATAGCGTGGTAAAAAGTTCCATTTAACTTTTCTTTCTTTTTGGTCAGCTTCACAATTTTTCTTTGTGAAGTTATGATAATTTCACATGTCCCTTTCTTTTGTATAATGAGTACTACAGTGGAAAAATTACTATTACATTTTTATATTCTAATTAAATTATGCAAAATTTAGAAAATTAGAGAAAAAAATAGATTCACTGATAAAATTATGCAAAATTTGAAAAGTCAAGAAAAAGTAAATTTACTAACCAAATTATATGACTTTAGAAAGTGATAGGAATAATGACCAAACAAAAAGGAGAGAGAATTTGAAAAACAAGCAATTTTAGAGGCGGGTGAAGTAAATTCCAAATTATAGCAATTTAGGAAGCAAATATGACAAAGAGACCAAATTATGGTAATTTGGAAAGCTAGTAAAGCAAGAGAATAAAATATGACAATTTGAAAGGTGAAAGAAGTAAAAGACCGAAATTCCTACTTCAACAAGCTTTGTATATAGCAAAAGGATGCCCCAGATGAGCACTTTGGTTCCATATGATTTACTACTAGTAGTTATCATCTTTTGGATAAGTTGCTTCAACATTTTCAGCAACATGCCCCAATTAAGAAGATTGTTTTCTTCTTAATAGGTGAATAAACTTGAGTAAGTTAAGGAGGCTACTATTGGACTTGCCATGTAAACATTTTCAATATGGATAAATTATGTTTCGCTTAGACCTATTTGTCTAATTGCTTGATAATTTTCTCTTTGATCTTCAAGGACCATTTAGCAATCTTCAATCAAACATGCTCTTGCAATGTAGTGCAATCTTTTGACATGTGCCAAATCAATATATTCTTTGCAAATTATCATTTTTATTTATTCATTTTTTTCATATTTCAATCAAGCTAAACTTAAATAAAGAAATAAAGGGAAGAAAAAGTATGAAAAATTTTGAAATTTTATTATTAAGACAAAATGCCAATAGGCATGGCTACATAAAGTTGGGAAGACAGACCATGACATTCTATTACAAACTCAAAAATAAAAAGAAGACTCATAACTTTTCTTTGGGCTCAGACTTAGACTCTAATATAATCTCTAAGCAAAGCTAGAAAATGGTATATTAATAAAGCCATTTCCTTCTCATAATACCAACTATTAGAGAGGTTTTTTGGAGGAGGTTGGTAGGACTGTAGATGCTCAAATTTTTCCCACAACAGCTCAGTGATGATAAACTATTTTTAACATAAGATTGTATTGAGATTCCCGATCACTCCAATTTTTGGACTAATGGTCCGTGGTTGAAATAATGCACGTGTTTGACCATTTTTACTTTTTCAGTTCATCGGGTATTTCGTGATGAAACCGGACCCAGGAAGAGCTTCAGCCCCCCCCCCCAATGCCCTTTCTGATGTTTCATCTTGTTTTCCATGCCAACCGGTCCTGTTTTGTAAAAATGGGTCCGACTCGATTTAAGGGCCCACCAGTGGCATTTTGCCACATAAGCCCTAAAATGGGGCAACACTACCCATTTGCTTATAAATAGGCCTTGAGATTAGTGCATGAGAGGTTTTTTTATCAACAAGAAGAAACTCTTAATCTAGAGTTATATTCATTGATTTCTGATTAGGAAAACTTCATATTGTTGATCAAAAGTCCAAAAAGCACACGCATTTGATCTCAAACTCGAATCTTTGATCCAAGAACCTAGTTTTAGGGTTTTCTTACATCCAATCTCTCAAGAATCATTGGAAAACCCTTAAAGGTAACTTCTGAGAGCCATTAACCTCTTCTTTCATCTCTTTTCTTTCATTTGGGTGTGGAAAACGCCGTTCTTTTGATTGGTTGTGAGAGAAATCTGTGAACAACCATAACCCCTTGATTATGTTAGGAGTGGTGCACGCTATAATGCATGGGGCGCAGCCCCCTACGTTTGGCGCATGCCACTTCTTCTGTAGTGAGGAGGCCTTGTTTTCTACTCTGTAACTTTCTGATCAAGAAAATGCCTAGCGCCATTACGTGTGGTGCACGCCCCACCCAAGTTGCGCATGCCACTTCTCCTGTGGCACTAGACACTTCATTTCAAAGGTCCAGAATGTTAAAAATCAATAAAATTGACCCAATTCGGAGATCTAGCGGCAAAGCACCAGGCTTTATTGTTTTGGAATGCATTTTACCCACAAATGGATTGAATAAACATCGATAAAAAAGATTTGGAGTAGTGATGTGTGTATTTGTTCATCAATCCTTGATGAACATCAAGACCTTAAACTTTGAATCTTGTATAATCTTTAAATAAATGCTTTCACTTTACTGTCTTTCGTTTATTAGTGCTTTAAATTCCAGTCCTTTATTTACAATGCGTTTTACTTTAATGCTCTTTAGTTTATGTAAATCTAACCCTTTTAACTTTAGTTTAGATCTCTTTAGCATTTGACATTCATCATCATCGTCATTGTTGAATGATTGTGTGATTCCTGATTCTGTCATTAACTTATATTTTTGTGGATGATTGTCATTATTTGTGGTTTGTATTCTTTATGTATGGATTTTGATTTTATTCTTATGAGCTTAATGTAAAGGACCTCAATGGATCCTATTATTGCTTGTATGTAATAATTAGGGGATTTGAAAATTTTGGAGGGTTAATGGGTAGATTGTATTTTAGGAGATGGGTTATACTCTTTTCTCCTCTCCCCCTTCGTAGGATGGTTTAATTTATGTTTATGTATGAGATGTTTTGCATGTTTGATATATTGTCCAAAATTGCATTAAAAGGTTTTACATCTCAATTCTTAGTTAATCTTATTATTCATAAGTGTGAATTAATGGTCAACAAGGAGGTTGGTTTAGACCGGGCGATTCGGGTGCCTAGCACCTTCTTGAAATCCTACCAAACTCCCTTGCCCAGTCTCTGGTTTAAAATCGAGTTAGTCAATTTCAAAGAATTAACTAATTCAAAAATTTTCCTTAAAGAGGGTGGCGACTCCGAAATAAAACTCTTACCAAAGTAAGAGAACCTTTTTCGAGGATCAACGAATGGGTTTAATAATGAAAACCAATTTATTAAATAAAATCAACCAGGCCCGGTCCTTTTCCTTTTAGCGAAAAAATAGCATCCTCAAGGACCAATTCCCTTTATAAAGATTTACTCAAATTAACTCTACGTGTTCTTGCTCCATAGTGTACTTGTGGTCTTCCAAGTTTTTTTACTTTGACTAAAGTGAGCTCCTTAGATTCCTGGTCCATGTATAGTCTGGGATGGGATGAAAGACAGATTTTGAATTATTTTTTCATAAGAGCCAATGGGATTAAAATTGGCTTGCTAGTTCAGAATAAGATTGATGGTAATATTGGGTCTAGGTGGGAGGATAATTATATCATTAACAATTTCCTAGATCTTATGCCTTAGATTTTTCACAAATTTTTTGTGCCCCAGACTCTGATGGTATTCACAATATTCGGTAACATTAAAATACTTTGGAAGAGGATGAGGGAGTCATTTTGGTTCTTCGGGCTTAATCAATAAAAGTCCTAGTGGAGTATCTCCAAATACAAATAGTGTGAGTTGGTTTTGGAATAGTGTAGACACTCAATTTTTGCTCCAAAAGGCTCAGTAATGATAACCTTTTTACATAAAATCGAGTTGGGACATCTGATCGATCTGATTCTCGGACCGATGGTCCGTGGCTAAAATAATTGAGTTGTTTGATTATTTTTACCTTTTCGGGTTTCCAGGGGTTTTGTAGTGAAACTGGGCTCGGGAAGCACTTCGAGTCCGCCCGGCATGCTTCTTGGTGCACCGCCTTGTTTTGTGTGTCACCCGATCCGAATTAGTAAAAATGGGGCCCGGCTCGACTTTGGAGCCCTCTAGTGGCACTTGCCACCTAAGCCCTAAAATAGGGCAACACATTCCCCCATTTGCCTAAAATAGGGCATTAGGAAATGTGAAAAGGGGAGGTCTTTTAGTTGCTTAAGGAAAACTCTTGCATTTCCAAAAGTTAACCTTTAATTTAAGAAAACTTGTATTTTCTCTTAGATTCAAGGGTTTCATTTAATCATTAAGAGAAAAACATCCCTCGTTCATGTTTTTGTACCGCCCCTAAGCGACTCGAAAACGTCCTTTCTATTTTTGTTTTTGATGGAGAGTGATCTTATCATGAAAAACGGTAATAAAACATTTTATTGGATACGATGCCGATAAATCGATCTTATAAAACATTTTGAGTCGCCACCCATTATTTCGGCAATGGGACCGTTTCCATCTCCAAACAAATAGTGTGAGGTTGGTTCTGGAATAGTGTAGACACTCAATTTTTGCTCCAAAAAGGTCTCAGTAATTGATAACCCTTTTGCATAAAATCGATTGGGACATCTGATCCGATCTGATTCTTCGGGCGATGGTTCCGTGGCTTTTTAAAATATGAGTTGTTTTGATTATCTTTTACCTTTTCGGGTTATCATGGGTTTTGTAGTGAAACTGGCGTCGGAAGCACTTCGACGTCGGCCCGGCATGCTTCTTGGCATTGGCACCCCTTGTTTTTGCGTGGTCGACCCGATCCGACAATTAGTAAAAATTGGGGCCCGCTCGACTTTGGAGCCCTCTACAGTGGCATTGGCACCTAGCCCTAAAATAGGGCCAA